GGAAAGTGAAAATTTTCCATAGAAAATATTAGTTCAGCTATTTTGTATTCTACAAATCCTAGTGACATTCAATTTGTTCAATATAGTACCATACAAATGAATTTCAAAATCCTAATTAAAAATTAGTGTCACCCATACGTGACTCACGTGGCACTGAACGTATCTTAAAAGCCTAATTGTTGTACGAGTCACAAGACTCAATTCCATATGAATAAAATGCACTAGGTCATCGAAAATGAAAATACTATGGGTCAGTAAAATTGTTTTAGATTTCGAATTAAAATGTCTCTGTTTGCAAAGGCTTAAAGCTATGGAAAGATGATTCATCAACATACGGAATAAAAGTGCTGCTTCGTAGCGATTAAAATTTTGGCAACAAAGAATTTCTCAAACCTTACAGAAAAATTGCAGAGGCAAGAGACTGCCATTTCAAGCGCATGTACAAGTAAAATCCTCGGCGCTGTTATAAAATTCATATCTCGTTATGATATCTATAGTTGGCCAGAAACGGCGAACTCCTAACCCTTTCTACCAGCGAAAGGGAAAGCGTGGAGTAATCGTTGAATTATTTCTCGTTCCATAGCTCTCCCTCTTGTTCCACGACTGCCCTTTCATGTCGCGGCGAAGAAGGTCATTGTCATCGTGCACGGTGATCAGATTACGCCCGTGACCCTCAGAATTGAATAATAATCCTATGATAATTTCGCGGCGGCGCAGCAGGTGGACGCACTGGCGCGATGCAACGCGACGCGATACGATGCGTTCTCCTTAAAGAGGGATGGACTGTTCGCGGGAACAGCAACCCCTGGCGAATCGGCAGGTGCACGTTCGCGAGCGCGACCGAGGCGTATTGTAAATTAGGGGTCGTCTAATAACCCCGCGATTAATAACGCGAATCCCTTTTTATCGCGACACGTGTTCCATTGCGGACATACAGAAGCGTTCGTACATTTTTAATAAAAAGCAATAACTACTTTAAAATTGAACTAAATGACTTGAATTTTTTTTTAAATGACGGTGGGACTAGTCCACTAGACGATGATTGGAAAGCTTCCTTTTAAATTTTGCTATTACTTGGAATGAAAAGAAAAAGTTAAAAACCTTCGTTTTTTAGCTTTTTTATCTGAGCCTATAACGAAAAATTTTTGTAGATCTCGGTAACATATATCTGTGATGTTGGCTAGAATTTCGACGTCGTCTTATGACGAGTCTTTGATAAATCGTTAAAGAATATCGTAGCAAATAGGTTGAATTCCGTGTGCATAAAATGATGAAGTCGAGTGCAGTGAATTCAAGTGCAAGACACAGGAGCTAATAGAATTTTAGTGATCCCTTAACCAGTTAGCTGTGTTTAACGAGTATACTCGTTATGGGGAAGTGGCAGTATTTTGTGTCACGACGAGTGTACTCGTCGTGCGTCTCAAAAGTAATGACCATTGGCTATTTAAATTGTAATTTTAATGAAAACAAAAACATATTCTCAAACGTCAAGATGCTTAGAATATTTTGAGACCAATCCTACACGAAGGTGTTTACATTGTTATAAAAATAAGATTAGAAAAGAATCACGAATTTGAATTTTTATTTGAATTTTTGACTTTTTCATTGGAATTTTTAACTTTTATAAGTATTCAATTTTTCCTGCGTTCTTCGTTTATTATGTATGTAATATATGTCAATGTTAAGTGAATAAGTAAATATTAGAAATAAAATTGTTAATTTTATAAAATAAAACCGTCTTTTTGATCCAATATTTTAACAGTGACGCTTACTCTGTCTTTGTCAAGTATACTCGTCATCGTTCGATTCTCGCGACACATATCGGCGCGCGCTCTGAAAAGGAGGCTCCACGGCTAACCGATTAAACCATGAAATCTGTAGTCAATCCGACGAGACGATTCAGGAAGTACAAACAGCGTGCATGCGGATCGCAGTCACCAGCTTCGATTACGTGAGTTGCATGCACAAGTCAGCCCAGGATTTTCGATACACGCCCCGTGTATACAATCGATAGATATGGTTTTCGGAATTGATCCAGCATGAACATTGAGCGCATTACGAGCGAGAAAAACGGCGATGGCTAAATTCCAGGAATTCGTCGAGTCTTCTCTACAAGAAGAGAACGGAAGCGGACGATCCGGAGATGGTCGGGGATGTAGGGAGCGTCGAGGATCTGGGATCTCGGTAACGGTAGGCTCGTCGATCGGCGTGGCAGGTGGATACCGGCTCGTCCGCTAAATAAAGCGTCGTCATTTCCAGTGTGTCCCAATTAAGACTGATTTTCTCCGTTTCCTTTCCGGTATTAGTGTCACGGTGAGCGCGCAATCTCGGAATCTACGGTATTGTGTAGCCGTCGCAGGTTGGCGCGCGGCTCTCGGCTCTCCTTCGTCCGTCCACTTACGATCCACGGCATGAATATTACATGGCTTCTTACCCACCGGAAAGATAATTGTCAAGAGCTCTAAATACGGCCTGGAAACGGGTGGACAGAAAATGCATAATACATTATGCGACGAGGAAACGAAAATTTACGACGCGCATGGCCACCGTTCCTTCGCGGAACGACGGCCGCGGGTGCACACCTCCGCTCTGGGTGACTCGCACCGACTGAATTAATTTGTCGTTTCACGCGGTGAAAACCGCGAGCCGAGGTGCCACGCCGAGCCGCCTGGATCCAGACCGCCGATTTCATTCGTCACGTCCCGCTGAACGACGAAGCCGAAGCGAAACCGTGCGATTCTTTCCAGGATCGCGTTAGAGTCCGTTTTATCATCTCGTCTAGCTTCCTGCCTCTCGTCAGCCATTTTCGATCCTCGAGCCTTCGATCGTCGGAGACGATGTCGAACTTGCAGCTCGCACGCGATACGTCGAGTTTTAAGGATGATGTAGTCATTGATAGCGATCGACTGCGATGAGAATGACAGGATGTACAGTAAATTTTCTCCAATCTTCTGTCGACATTTAAACAGAAATGGACAATTTGAGAAGAGGAGACACGTTTATTCAAGGCTCGTTTTTATAGTCGCGGCTCGTTTTTCTAGTCGCCGATTGTCAACAAATATAAAAACGAGCCGCGAGGCTCGAATAATTGTGTATCTTGAATAACATTAGAAGAAATGAATAATAATATATTTAGTAGATAACGTATGAAATCTTCGTGACGAGCCTGACTCGTTTTTATAGCACAAATGGTTAATAACGTGCAAGTTCTTTCGAAAAACAGAGTAACAATTTTTAATGTCGCCTCAGACTCGCCAATTAAATTCGCAAAAGAAGTTGCATAAAATATTCATGCACCCAAAGTCTCATCAATTTTAATCGTCGAATACCTAATGATTTCAGCTCGAATAAAATGATTTATATTTGAGTTTCGTTCGAGGTTACGTTCGAGGGTGAACTGAAATGCATTAATTTCGCACGTGGGTAAAGGGCGGCTGTGCATAGAAAAGTTAGTTCAACGCAGAAATTACTTATGCAAGATCGCCGTCGAAATCTAATGCATTTGTAGCTGCACAGCGTTGAAATCGCCACTGCCTACTCGAAACGTTGTTTCGTAAGCTGATTTTGGAATTGCGTTCAGAGCCGCCCGCGATTCCTCTCTAATCTCTTCTCCTCGGCTCTCGCTTCTTCGTTCATCGGCTCTGCCGTTGTTTCTCGGCACCGTTGCCACGAATTTATGCTTCGTTGTCCGTTGTTACGGATTTACAGAAAGTTCTGACACGATTTTTCAGAGATTGCATGCTGCAGGCGGTATAATGAACGAGATTTCAATGAAACTTCTTAATTTAGCCGTTACCACTTTGTGATAAAATAGTGGTAAAATAGTGGTAAAATAGCAGCAAAGATTAAGAATGTTACTTTATCTGCAGCTGTCTTAAAACTGGATTTTATTAATAATTTGCAAATTAATAATGACTAATTTTTGGCGAAATTGAGCATGCATTTTTCGAGCAGTAAAGACTGAGAATGTTAAATTTTTAATAGCCATTTTAAATTGAGACTTGGCTACTAATTTGCAAATTAATAATGACTAATTTTTGGCGAAATTGAGCATGCATTTTTCGAGCAGTAAAGACTGAGAATGTTAAATTTTTAATAGCCATTTTAAATTGAGACTTGGCTACTAATTTGCAAATTAATAATGACTAATTTTTGGTGAAATTGAGGATGCATTTTTCGAGCAGTAAAGACTGAGAACGTTAAATTTTTAATAGCCATTTTAAATTGAGACTTGGCTACTAATTTGCAAATTAATAATGACTAATTTTTGGTGAAATTGAGGATGCATTTTTCGAGCAGTAAAGACTGAGAACGTTAAATTTTTAATAGCCATTTTAAATTGAGACTTGGCTACTAATTTGCAAATTAATAATGACTAATTTTTGGTGAAATTGAGGATGCATTTTTCGAGCAGTAAAGACTGAGAATGTTAAATTTTTAACAGCCATTTTAAATTGAGACTTGGTTATTAATTTGCAAATTAATAATGACTAATTTTTGGTGAAATTGAGGATGCATTTTTCGAGCAGTAAAGACTGAGAATGTTAAATTTTTAACAGCCATTTTAAATTGAGACTTGGTTATTAATTTGCAAATTAATAATGACTAATTTTTGGTGAACTTGAGAATGCATTTTTCGTGCAGCAAAGGCTAAGGACTTTACCTTTCCAGCAGCAGTTTCAAATTCAGATTTGCTGGGAATTTTTCAACTTGGTAACGACCAAGTTTCGTGGCGATTTTTATAGCGGTCTTAAAATTGACATCGTCTAAACGTAGTTTCTCCTTTCGACGAATAAGAGAATTAAAGAAAGCTAATATCCGAACGGTGTTGGAATCAACCGTTCACAGAAGAACGCGATAAACCAACGGACGCGGGCCGGCAAGACGGATAAATCGCAGGTAATGGAACTTCGACGGTTTTTTTTTCTCGGTGCAGTCAGCTGTAGATAATCTGCATATAATTTAGTACGTTCCTACGATTCGAAAGATTCTATCCGTACCAACACTTCCGGGTACAAGTTGCCGATAGCGTTTTGATGACGGCGTTTACCGCCGCCAGTCTCCCCAGGGTCAGAAGTGACACTGATAGCGAGCACGGACCACGGAGCACCTGTTACCATCCGGAAGTCTCAAATCATAGCGTTGCATACGCTTGTAATATCGAGACAAGAGGAGACGTATTTTCCGGCAAACCACTTTGCTCCGCGAAAAAATCCCGCAGTTATCGCCTTCGCGAGGCTGAATTACCGGTTCGGTGATCATTCTTGATAAATAGTCACAAACATGAGAGCAGCATAGCTGGCGCACGCGAAATCACAATTTATTGACACCGGTGGACGTTTAAAATCGAATAAATTAGTTTTCGATGTAATTAGGATACTTATAATTTAACCACGGATTTTATGCATTGATTTAAAAAATGAATAAACGTAATACGAGACAGTGATGCTATTGGAACAATTTAACAATTTCTTTATGTTATTTATAATCAGTTGAAGTTATTCAAGTCAGGAATGCAGTTCTTGTTTCTCTTATTCGATGCACAACATTTCTATTTTGCGTAAGCATCCGCGGTCTGCTTATATTTAAATAATTACTACTTATAATTGAACTACTACAAAAATGAATACATCAAATTCAGAACAGTAGAAACGATTATAATAATCGAGGAATACGCATGTAGTCAAAGTGTACCGCATCATTTTTTCGAAAAGGTGAAATTAACAATTAATTCAATATACTTGGAAGTGAGATATCGAGTACTCATAAAAAAAACACGATGTCCTACATTGTTCAAATTATATTCTCCAGTGTTTATGTCTCAAAAGGAGAACGATTTGTATCAGTGTTTACAATTTACTGTAAGCGTGTTTGCAGTCACTATTCAAGGTTCGAGAATATTTCTTGAAACCCTTAAAAAGATCATGTCATCGTTATTTCACTATTTACATCAAGTGCCCTACTTTTATGAATTTTTCGTACTGAACCTTAAAACTGACCTTGAAATCTCAAAAGATATAAGCTTGAACAAAATTGTTTTGCCTATCATAATATTTGTCGCTCCGAACCAACTAATGTTTTCCTCTGATATTTTTTTCTATCGTAAAAAACAAGCGAGATATTTTAAATGCTCGAAATAGGTGAAACACCCTGTACAAGCAAACAAGTTCAATTTCCACGTATCCAATAAAAACAGTCATACGGAAATGCTGTAGATTGAAACAAATGCCTTCATTTTGGAGTTGAAGTGGCGAAGCTCACATTATCCGTAGAGAGGAATTTCAGTCTTTAGAATGTTAGTACACAATTAAAAGTTTTTCGATTTTGTACGACTATATTTTACAAATCATCGTACGTATACCATGTAGACAATTTGATAAATAAGACAGTTCAACTGCAAATGTCCTCGCTATGAAATAATGTATGTTATCCAATCGATTTCTGAGAACATAATATTAACACGTTCCGTGCCACGTGTACCATCGATGGTACACGCTTGCATGTTTACTTAGTGAACTGAACAAATTGTTTACAAGAAATTTAGAACCGAAGAATCAATTTCCACCGCAAGAATGGGCGTTGATAAGTTTTTGTTACGTTGTTACGTGTACGAGAATTAATAATTGCACGTAATACATCAAGTTTTAGTAAAATATCAAAGTGTGAAGATTCGAGTAAAGAAAGCTCGGCACGGAACGTGTTAAGAACAATACTTATCCTGTGTCAATAAGACATCGGCTATCAAGTCAGGGGTAACTTGGACATTTTTTAAAAACATTCAACTTCGGAATGAAATCCTCCTAGATTGTCGAAATATCACGCTGCGCGTCGTTTCGCGGAACGCGTTGTCGGGGCCAAGTTTCGCGAATCCAAGAGGAAGCGAGCGGCGCACAGGGAGCAGGCAGCACGTCCCCGAGATCCGGCGGACGTAAATCTAGGCTTGGGGCCCGGCTAAGAGTGCATAAGAGTGCATAAGAGTGCATTAGAGTCGGCGCTCTCGGGATCCGCGTAAACGATACGATCTTCGTGGCTCGCCAGATACGGCTATCCGAGGGCCGGCAGAGGTTTTTGCATCCAGGGAGCAAAACGGCGGTGCTGTTGCTGCCGTTGCCGTTGCCGTAGCTGTTGCTGCGAGAGAGGAGCGCGCACGCGCATCTGTTAGAGCCCTATGACAGGTATACCGGCGGTGATTTATAAACAGTTTATGATGTCTGGCCGTGCCACGAGGCGCTCCGTCTCCACTTTCCGCTACCAGGCTAGCTCTATGGCTCTCTTTTAATAGGGGCCGACCGTTTTCTGATGAAACGGCTCTCGCAGACGACGGCGACCGTCTAGCCTCCCAGGCACGACCTATTTCCCGGACATAAATCAACGCTGACACCGGGACCGGGACCCGGTGCGCCGTTTTCGAGCCCTGTCATTAGATCGACCAGGTAATCTCTAATTAACCCTCGGACACGCTCGCTCGATCCACCTCGCAGGGAACCCAGGCTAAATTCGAACGTCGCGCCGAACCATAGCCAATCAGGACACACGAGTTTACAATGTTCTAGCAGCTAGTTGTCAGTCAATGCTATTTGCAACAAGCATCGTTGAATGTAGACTGCTCTGTAGTATTGAATCGTGTCTGAATACATTGTGGGAAGTCTTTTAGCTGTGCACAGCTAAATGCTGTGTGCATTCGGTTCTTCTAAAATAAATTACAAAACACGGTTTGCTTTTTGGTGTAATTTGATCATGTTTATGGCACATGAAATAATTTATTATAAATTGTACCCTGTATTAGAACTAGTAACAATAATTTTTAGGTAATATACTTCAAGATCGGTCTAAATTTGATCGTTATAACAAGCATAGTTAAATATAGGCTACTAGAAAAAATTGTCTGTAGCATTGAATCATGCCTGAATACATTGCAGAAAGTCTTTTAGCTGTGCACCATTCGATTCTTCTAAAATAAATTACAAAACACGGTTTGCTTCTTGGTGTAATTTGATCAAGTTTATGGCACATGAAATAATTTATTATAAATTGTACCTTGTATTAGAACTAGTAACAATAATTTGTAAATATTATTCTTCAAGATCGGTCTAACTTTATACATCGTACTGTGTTTTTATTCGTAGCTGTTCAAGATATACAATTTTACAAAGTTTTATCTACTAGTAGTCGGTAAATTCTACTTGTAACAAGCACTACTTCATGTCGGCTGCTAGAAAAAATTGTCTATGGTACTGAATCATGCCTGAGTACATTGCAGAAGGTCTCTTAGTTGTTCGTAATTTACTTCTCCTAAAATAAATTTGAAAACTTTATTTGAAAATTTTATTTTAGCCGAATAAAAAGCAGCAATAAAGAAACGAATTTTTTCAGTTTCTGACGAATATTGAACGGATCTTCCTGTCAAATTATAATCTTCCCCATCGTTTACAGTAAACTGGAGTCATGGAAAAATGTATTTTTTTTTTAAATTATCAACACATATCTCTAAATCATTTACATATCCGTGTGTCTGAATCATTTTAAAGGTATTATATCAATATGAAATCATAAAAAGAATTGCGAATCTAGATAAACCGACATTTTCCAAATTTTAAGAAAATATACGAACGATTGCTTGAATGCAGCTAAATGTTGTCATCCATACAAACATCAAGACGATTCACGTTGTGTTATTAGGTTGGTGCATATGAAATGTCGGATTTTCTTTACATGCGAACGTTTGTCTCCCTGTTTTCGTTATGCTTTTGTTTTTGGCATAGTCTCGTTTATAGTCGTACTGTGCATCGACAAAGTTACATTTCAACAAAGAAGATTTTCTCAAAAGTGTTCCATTTTGTTATTTGTTTTGAATTTCGTAAGGATATGAATTCAACCGATATTCGTGTAATTTTTTTATATGAGTATAAACTTGGTAACAATGCTGGAAATGCTGCACGAAATATAAACCAGGCGTTTGGGGAGAACACTGTTAACGATCGAAAAGTGCGGCGTCGGTTTGAAAATTTTCGGTCTGGTGATATTTCCCTACAAAATGAACCACCTGGAAGGCCCAAAACGTCTGTGAAAAATGATGCTCCGAAAACATTGGTGGAAACGAATGTGACTGGAGTAATTCACTACTCATTCCATCGAACTGGGGAGACAATTACAGTCGAAAAGTACTGCCAGTACATTGATGAAATGCATGAAAAATTGAAAATTATACGCCTATCACTTGTTAACACGTTCCGTGCCACGTGTACCATCGATGGTACACGCTTGCATGTTTACTTAGTGAACTGAACAAATTGTTTACAAGAAATTTAGAACCGAAGAATCAATTTCCACCGCAAGAATGGGCGTTGATAAGTTTTTGTTACGTTGTTATGTGTACGAGAATTAATAATTACACGTAATACATCAAGTTTTAGTCAAATATCAAAGTGTGAAGATTCGAGTAAAAAAAGCTCGGCACGGAACGTGTTAATCGGCGTGCCTCAATACTTCTTCACGACAACGCTCGGCCGCGTACGTCGTACAAAGCAGTTGCGAAGTTAAGTGAATTAAAATACGAAAGTTTGCAGCACCCAGCTTATTCGCCGGATCTCTCGCCAACCGACTTTCATTTTGTTAAACATTTAGAACAGTTTTTACGGGCTAAACAGTATGAAAATGAAGACAGTCTGAAAAATTCCATATCGGAGTTTATTGATTATAAAGATCAGAATTTTTTTTTCTTTAAGACAGGCATCTGTGCATTAAAATCTCGTTGGGAAAAGTGTATCGAAGCAAATGAAGCATATTCTGATTAAATAAACAGTTTTTGAAGAAAGGTATGCAGTTTTATATATTCATTTAAAAATCCGCACATTTCATACGCACCAACCTAATAATAAAACCCACAGTCGAGTTCGAATTCACAGGAGTCTGCATCGCAGAGATGAAAGAGGACATCCAGCGATCGCGAGCAACACCAAGAGTCTCTCTCTCCTTAACAATTACCAGAGGGATACGGAGAACGATCGTGTCCCGAGGACGTTGCATGCAGTTCCCGGCGGAAAAGTAGGTAGCACAGTCGACTTAGAGCAGCTTCCCGGCGACTATAAGAATTTACAACTGAGAGCTGCT